ATTATCCATGGATGTGCAGGCTAGGTGGATTAGCCACGGTAAATTTAGGGTTACAGGGATAGGGTCAGGGTCTAAGTCTGGGTGTGATGCTCTTTGGAGGGTTAGTGCAGACTCGATGAGCCAAATAACCTCTCTAGGGATTCTATGATTCTACAATTCTATGAAAACGCTGCCCAATGCAATCAGGTAAATCTTGTAATTTCTAGACCCTTCTTTCATTAGAAATACAGTGTTCAGCAAGTCCATGGTGACTTTCATTCATAAGCCCATAATTTTTCAAGTGCCAATTTGTTGTATCCTAGATTGTCTCTAAGTTTTCTCAGCACCAACAATAGGCTCAACATATCCCTCCAGTTTTTGTTTGCACACAAGTGCAACTTTTGCAATCCTCCAGTTTATCTCTCTATCTGAGAAATTAGAAAGTTTGACCACAACCAATGTTTTTGTTCACTCTATTGTTGCTATTGCTTTCTCCCTTACTGTACCTGGCACATCTTCTTTATTAAAGAGAATGTTGATTGACAATTTCATCCCCACCTTCACTCAGGAACTCCTCTCTTCATTTGACTACACTTTATTATTTATTTGTAAATGATCATTGATTCCTTTTCTGTTTGCTGCTATTGTATTGTCATTCTTTCTGTTTGGCACTTGTATTCACTTTATTTAGAGATCCTCTGTACTTGAGTTTGTTTGATTTTGCCAGCCAATCTTCAATACCAATCCACCTGGGTCACTTGTCCTATTTAAACAAAACACATATACTTCAAATACGTATTAGACAGCCTCATGATTGTCCAATGCCTGAGTACACATATTTTTGGACATTTTAAAACTGGGGCTATTTGTCTCTTGTCTGTGCAACCTGTTTCTCTTCTTTATTGTTTCATCCTGGTGCCCATGACCCTGACACATTCAGTCACACAATTCCCACAGTGCTAGCTAACCTCCCCATGGGGCTACTGGCTCAGGTCAGTTAAGCTGCATCTTGTCCATTGTGAGTCAATTCTTCCTGCCCTAGAACTGATGCTTCCTGTCCAAGACATTTAAAGCCCTCTTTCATCCCCTATTTCATCAGCCATGCATTTCACTGTTTCATCCAGCTGTCCCTATTCTTACTAGTGCACAAGAATAATTCAAACATTATATCATTGCAGTCCTGTTTTGAACTTTCTGATTAGTAACTAAACTGCTGACTGAAGGGCCTCAGTCATTTTCCATTCTATGTCACTGGCACATACATGGCCCATGAATTCTGATTGTTCCTTTTTCCAACTCAAGATGTTCTTTACCCTGTTGGTGATGTCCTTAAACCTGACAACAAGAAGATAACACTCCATGGGGTTCCTATCTATTCCCTGACTTTGAATCTCCTACAATCACCGCAGTCCCACACTTTTCTGTAACTTGCTGAGCAGTCCATTGCCCCACAGTGCCATGTTCTGGTCTGAGGAGGCATCACCTTCACCGTGCTGCAAACATGTTTGACAATGCCTGAATCATGGGGGATTGTGCACTGTCTGTTTCTTTCTACTCTGTACTGAGCTATGCTGTCCTAAATTTTCTCTAGCTTTGGGGTAGACATTTCCTGGAATGCACAATCCAGGAAATTTTTTAGCCTCTCAAATTATCCTGCAGTGATTCAATTTGCTCAGAGAACATGAGCTTGAGCAATCAGCAATCTCTGGATTCTCCGAGAGATTTGCCACTATCCAGAATGCACAAAGTATCCTTGAGTTTCCAGGTGGTGTAGGAATTGCAGGGAATGCGTTTCAGCTGTCCTTGTATTCTACTCAATTTTACTTGTATAAACTTCTTATTTTATAAATGTATTCCGTATACCTTGTTCACTCCTATTTATTATTCATCTATTTGCCAGTTTCTTATTTAGTGGTATTTTCTATTCCCTTAGCATTAGTAATTCCTATGTTGTGTAATTTACCTCTGTTTTAATCAATTACAATGCTTATTTATTTGTATTGTAATGGGTAGAGCTGGAGGTGTGCATCGTCACTCTAGTTGCATTACTGCATGGTCACAACATAAAGTAAAAATATATTTCACAGTTACTGAGATGGCCAGTTAAATAATTTATCTATATCAGGTTTTAAATGAAAAGATCTATCAGCCAGGTTTCTTTATAAAATACAAAATTTGTGGTTTATTATCAAAACAAAACCAATTCAATTAAGTTGCAATAACTGATTAACTTACATAGCCAGTAAGATAGAAGTATAAATGTTTATCCCTTTAATCAACCCAAAGCACACTCAGACATGCATACAGAAAAAGAAAAAAAATGTCTCTGCAGCTTTAATTAAAAAACACTTTCTGACCATTCGGATTATTCTTGGAGGCCAAAAAGAAATGGTACAAAACGTTTGGAAAGGAGTTCTAGCACGTGCAGTGAAGTCAGTAATCACACAGTGGTCTCTGATGTCAGGAAATGCAGTAGGGAGAAATTCCTTATCACTCACCCGGAAGAACAGTTAAGTTTCACCATGAACTCAGCAAGAGTTTTTCAGAAATAGGAGAGTTTAGCTGGGACAACAAGGTGTAGAGCTGAATGAACACAGCAGGCCAAGCAGCATCAGAGGAGCAGGAAAGCTGA